TTGAGCTCTTTGTCTACTATCGAATGCCTAAGCCTTCAATCACTCAAACATGTTAGATGTGTTGGAATACCCCCTCCGTACGGTGCCCTACTTACCCTTTTATAGATGAAGAGGAAGATGAAGGTTACATCGGAGAGAGAGAGAAAGAATCAAGGAGAGGAAGGCTTTCAGGATTGCAACGTCTTCCATCTCCTCTACACGAGTCCCACCGGCCTTGTAGATGACAATGGGGACGGCTCCATGTCATGGCCCTATTCGTCACTGATGCCGTACGTGGGCGTCATCAGCCGGTCGTGGCACTCCATCCCTTCCCAACAGATGGTATGGCTCACTGATGTCTCCGCCTAGGGCCATATGGGGAGTAGGTAGCACAGCGCCGGCATGCCCGATGCTGTTGACGATGTGCATCCTCAGACATGGCCCATCATGGCCTCAGGTCATGTTAAGACGGGCCTGCTCCCCTTCTAGCGTTAGAAGTTTGACCCTAGACTCATACTTTTAGACCCCTAGTGGTTGGGGGCGGTACAGACCTCCATCGGGCAAGGGGGAGCCCGTGCCCTTGGCGGTCGGGCGAGGCAAAGCCCATGCCCTCGCTGTCAGACAAGGCGAATCCTATGCCCTCAGTGTCGGGTGAGACAGAGCCCACGCTCTCAAGATCGAGCGAGGTGGAGTCCGCGCCCTCAGGGTCAGATGTGACAGGGCTCTCGCCCGAGGAGTCAGGCGAGACAGAGCCTGAGCCCTTAGGGTCGAGTGACCCGGATCCCATATCCTTTAGGTCAGGTGAGATGGAGCCCATGCCCTTGGGGCCAGGCAAGACCAAAATATGCTCTTGACCATCCGATGCACACCACTTTGCCCTCAGAGCTACTAGGGTCTATGAGGACCTCCTCGATGCCCTCCGCAGGCTCAAAGGATCTGGCCAACCGCTTGGAGTCAGGTGCCTCCTCGGTAGTCCCTTCCTTGATGACCGTGAGCTCCTCGAAGGCGATGATTGCCGAGTCATGCCCGCAGCACTCAACCTCACACTCGTAAGCATGTAGGAAGGTGGTGCCAATGGTGATGACCCCACACGGGCCTGGCATCTTGAACTTTAGGTAGGTGTAGATGGGGATGACCATGAACTTCGCATAGAATGGTCATCCTAGGATGGCATGGTAGGTCCCGTGGAATCCAACAACATCAAAGGTGAGGGTCTCCATCCCATAGTTGGTCGGATCCCCAAAGGTGACTGGAAGATTGATCTGCCCGAGCGGTATGGCTTGCTTCCCTAGCACGATGCCATGGAAAGGCGCCCCAGTTGGTCGGACACACGACCGGTCCATGCCCATGGCGTTGAGTGTCTCGGTGTACATGATGTTGAGGCCGATTCCTCCATCCATTAGCACCTTGGTGAGGTGCTTTGTGCCGACAATCGGGTCGACCACGAGCGGATACCTCCCTGGCTGCGGGATGCTATACGGGTGGTCAGATCGGTCGAAGGTGATGGCGAACTTTGACCACCCGAGGAAAGATGGCGCGGCCGGTTCGGCCGTGTAGACCTCGTGGCATGCGATCTTTTGGTGGCACTTGGAGTCATAGGCCGCCGTCGCACCAAAGATCATGAGGCAGCTATTCGGGGTTGAAAAGCCACCGTCCTTCCCCTTGGCATCTTCTAGCACTAGCTCCAGCTTCTTTCTCCGGTTCCCCTTGTTAGAGCCACCGGATAGGAACTGCTTCACGAGGGCACAGTCCTTGCATAGATGCTTGACAGGGAAGATGTGGTTCGGGCATGGCCCCTCAAGTAGCTTCTCAGAGTTGTCTGGAGCATTCTAGGCTAGTGCACGACCACCTTTCTGCTCTGTAGTGACCACGAGCAAGCCCCTGTGCTGCTGCTTGTTCTTCTTCTTGTTCGAACAATTAGAGGGTCCATTGCTGACATCCTCGTCCTGCCTCGCTTTGCCTTTGGAGTGATCAAAAATTGCTCTAACCGCCTCCTTGCCTGAGGTGTGGCTAGTCGTGATGTCGAGGAGCTCCTTGGTGGTCCGAGGGCCCTTATGTCCCAGCTTGTGGACCAAGGACTAGCAAGTGGTCCCGGACTAGAAGGCTCCAATGATGTCGGCATCGGCGACATCAGGCAACTCATTGCATTGCCTAGAGAAGCATCGGATGTACTCATGGAGAGTCTCTCTAGACTTTTATCAACAATTTTTTAGATCCCAGGGGTTCCTAGGGTGCGTGTAGGTGCCCTAGAAGTTTCCCACAAACATCTTCTTCAAGTCCGCCCAACTTTGAATCTGGTTGGGCAGAAGGTGCTCCAGCCATGTTCGCGTCGAATCAGCTAGGAACAAGGGGAGGTTGCAGATAATTAAGTAATCACTATTTTCCGCCGGCTTGACAAGCAAGCCGGTAGTCCTCGAGCCACAAGCCAGGGTTCATCTCCCCAGAGTACTTCAATACATTAGTCAGTTGTCGATACTGCGACGGGAAAGCTGCATTGAGGATGTGCCGGACAAAAGCCTAGGGCCCCAGTAGGTTGGGGCTCAGGCTCTGGTATTCACTACTATCATAGCGTTTACCACGACGAGGATGGAAACCTTGGCAGGCTTCCTCTCTCTTGTCACCCCGTTCGCACCTACGAGCGTCTAGGGTGTTGCGTGCGTCATGGTTGGGGCCAAGATGCTCATGCACTGGGACCATTGCAAGTCCCCCGCCGTCGCATGGTGCCTTGTGGATGGACACATCCCAGCCATGTCGTCCTGAAGACACATGCTGACTGGCATCGAGCTCACATCACCAAGATAGCGAGCTTTCCGCCTGTTGCACCACTGCTCACTTGAGCAGCGTGTGGATCTTGCGGTGGGTCGATGGTTTTTGGGTGTCATGGGCTCTGGGAGCCTTCGAAGTAGGGCCGTCATGGTAACTATGTTCTAACTTGCCCAGGCAAAGTGCGGGAGGCCTCCGTCATCCTCGACGATCCTCCGGTTCATGTCATGGGTGATGGCGCGTGCGCGGCCACCATCCCCGTGATGCTTGATCTTGCGTTCGAGCTCCACGCAATCCTGCTCCAGCTAGAGGCACACATCTTCAAGCTCCTAATGCCGCGCCCTTAGCTATTCCACCTACATGAGGGAAGGGCCCCCACATCTTCTTTGACTTCATCATCGAAGTCGTTCGGTGGGGTAGCCCCTCCCTCATGGATGCTTTCGACGTGTCCTTCGGGGGTACCTGCCATAAAACATTCTCGCGAGGGGTGATGGCTCCCCCTACTGGAGTCAGAGTTAGAGATCGACTCTGAATCTCCCGCGAGAAGGTCATGGAAAGACTCTGTGATGTAATCGGCCATTCCCAAGAATTTGTCATCCATGGGAGGCGGGCTCATGCGCTATACCGCGAAGTGACCAACGGCCCTTGCGGCATTGCGCAGATCAAACGGGAATGCTATCAGGGCATCTCAGGTGAGATATTCCAAGGAGAGTGGCTCCCCTCTGGCAAGCTATGTCATGACATTGGTCAAGGAGAAGGTGAGGCAATGCACATCCTCCTAGGATGGTTGAGGTCCCAGGAAGGCATCGAGCTGACGCTCTAGCCTCCTATAATCAAAGCCGAGGAGCTGGTCACTCCCGAGGACACCAGCCTCCGGTGTGCGTAGTTGTAGCTCCTCGAAGGCTTCGATGGTTGCATTGAGGCCAGTGGAGCGAGGAGGTTGGACGGGGGCAGGAGCCTGTGCCAGCTCTCCCTCCGTGGTGACGATGAAGTCCAGGCTCCCGAAGCACATGTGAGCGCCCAGGACCCAGCTAATGCCGTGGCTAGCCATCCATGGCCTGTTGTGCATGACGAGACACGCAAAAGGCCCCTACCTGGCGTGCCAACTATTGGTGTTTCGAATCATCGGCTAGTAAATTTCTAGTTTACGTGTCTAACCCAAATGGCTATGCTCAGAGGATATAAGGATTTATACTGGTTCGGGTGGAACGTCCCTACGTCCAGTCTACTGCTGCTTGTGTTACTGGCACTTGTTCTGTAGTAGGGGTTACAAACAGGCGAGAAAGGGAGAAGGTCCCAAGTTTCTGGTGAAAATAGTGAGTCTGGTTGAGCTCTTTGTCTACTGTCAAGTGCCTAAGCCTTTAGCCGCTTAGACGTGTTAGATGTGTTGGAATACCCCCTCCATGGGGTGCCCTTCTTCCCCTTTTATAGATGAAGGGAAAGATGCAGGTTACATCAGAGAGAGAGAGAGACAAGGAGAGGAAGGCTTCCGAGATTGAACCATCTTCCATCTCCTTTATGCAGGTCCCGCTGGCCCTATAGATGACAACGGGGATGGCTCCATGTCATGGCCGTGTTTGTCACTGACACCATACGTGGGCATCATCAGCCGGTCATAGCGCTCCATCCCATACCAGCGGATGGTATGGCTCACTAACGTCTCCGCCTAAGGCCATATGGGGAGTAGGTAGCATAGCACTGGCATGCCCAACGCTGTTGGTGATGTGCATCCTCAGACATGGCCCATCATGGCCGAAGGTCACGTCAAGACACACCTACTCCCCTTCTAGCATCAGAAGTTTAACCTTGGACTTGTACTTTCAGACCCGTAGTGGTTGGGGCTAGAACGGACCTCTGTCGGCCAAGGTGGAGCCCATGCCCTTGGGGGTCAGGTGAGGCAAAGCCCACGCCCTTGAGTTCAAGCGAGATAGAGCCTGTGCTCTCAGGATCAGGTGAGGCAGAGTCTGTGCCCTTGGGGTCAGACGTGACAAGGCTCTTGCCTGAGGGGTCAGGCGTGACTGGGCTCCGGCCTGAGGGGTCAAGCAAGACAGAGCCTGCACCCTTAGGGTCGGGTGACCTGGATCCTGTATCCTTGAGGTCGAGTGAGATGGAGCCCGTGCCCTCGGGGCCAGGCGAGACCAAGATATGCTCTTGACCATCCAAGGGAGTTAGCGTTCGTGGCCATTAGCTTTCTTCTTCCATGTATCCCTAATACTGATACCCGACACATCTACTAGGTGCTATTTGTAATCATCAACCGTAGGAGAAGCAATTTTCTTGGCCTCATATGCAGTCCTGGGTATTTGATTCCCCCATGGAAGCATATCTTCGAGCACTTCTAGCAATTCTCTAAAGCCCTTGTCAGTCCAGTGATGTGCCGCCTTTAGTTGGAGAAGCTGTAGTGAAGCGGACAACTTCATATACCTCTCATTGCAACTCGGATAGAGTGGTGTCTTCATATCTTCCAACAGCTGCTTTAGCTTCTTGAACTCCAAACCAGTGTACTCATCAAAGCCAAACGCATCACGCACCATCTCCTCCAGATTCTCAACCATTGGGACAGGGCTAGCAACAATCTCTGCTACATTATCATCACATAGTTCCTCATAGCCAAAGGGTGCTTCCTCATTGCCAAAGGGCGCTTCCTCATTACCACCGACACCAGTTTGATGAAGTCCTTCCTCACCATCTCGCTCATTGACACCTTCTTCTCCATGTTTGTTCCAACATCTATAGTCATCCATGAATCCTCGAAGAATTAGGTGGGCATTGACTGACAACTTATTCAAGTACTGCTTCTCATTCTTACAACCAACACATGGGCACAACATAGATGACTTATGTCCATTCCTCATGTCTGCCTCTTTGCAACAGCTAGGAAATATTTCAATCCTTCCAAGTACTCATTACAAGTACGGTTCTGAAGATACATCCAATGGCCTCGATCCTCCATAGTCTACAAAAGAAGATTGAAAATAAGAATATAAGCAAATTCATCAATGCTTTAGTAATAAAAACACATTTTTCTAATAAACTTAGTTCACATTGCAAGTTTTACACAAGCAAATTCATTACAGTTTCACACAAGCTCATAAAAGTTCTTGCTGAGCTCACCACTGTTCACAGAGAATCACACGCTAGGGACTAGGGGGGAGAGCTGAGCACTCTGGTGATCCCCTACAGCTCAACATGGCAAAGCACAGTCAGAGCACGCCTGATCAAGTACACTGTACAAAGGAACGAGTTAGAGTCAGACTCGAGCTCGACCGTAGCCATGGTAGTTCAATGGGACACAGAACAGCGTCTACAAATTGCTTCAAATTCGATACAACATGGTAGAGGATAGTCGAAGGGCTCAGGCAAAGATCAAGACTCACCGCGATGTCGATGTCTTGCTTGGTTGAACCAAGGATGAGGCGGAGCTAGATGGCCAATGGTGATGGCACGTGCGGCAACGCGAACTGGTGGCAAGGTCATTGGTCCAGCATGACCTACGCATTAGAGGTAAAAGAATGGAGCCAATGAGCATCACGGAGTTGCAGGAGAGCTAAAACAATAAACATGATCACTAGAGGAGCGCCGAAATGAGCTGGCCACGGTGAGCTGCCCATGGCGGCCATGGTGACACGGCCATGGTGGCAACCGATGTTGAAGGTGATTGCGGTGGCGAGAGGTGGCTTGTAACACCCTAAAAATTGCCTCTTTTAAAGAAGAGTTAAAATGATTTATTTATGAATTTTGTGCACATGAAATATAGGAAAATAAAAAGTTTCATTAATTTAAAATTCATCATAAGGTAGCAACATGTGTGAGCATACATGCTGTTGCATTCTATTTATTGCGATGAATGGTGTTGATCCAAACTCCAAAGTAATTTGGAATGCTTTTGAAAAGAGTTTGAAAATGGCTTTGAAATAAAAGAAAAGAAAGAAAAGAAAATTAGAAAATAAAAGTATTTTTAAAAGTTGTAAAGTTATTCTTGGAAAACCTAATGGAATTGACCATTTTTTATTAAATGGGAAAGTATTTTTGAAACCATACTTGAATTGGATTTGAATTTAGCTTGGAATTGGAAGATTAGAAAAAGAAAAGGAATTGGAAAATGTAAGAACTTAAAAAGTTATTTTTGGAAACTTACCAAAATTGCTCACTTTTATTGGAATTGAAAAATATGTTCAAACTCTATTTGAATTTGCATTTAGTTTACTTTTGAGTTGGCCTTGAAAACTAAATAGGAAAAAGATTTTAAATTGGAAAATATCCTTTCTTTCTATTTTGGCCCAACCTCGGGCCGGACGGACCAAAGACCCCCCCTTTTCCCCCTTCCTACCTGCTCCTCTCGCTCACATCGGCGCCTGCCCGCTTCAGCCACTGCTCGGCCTGATCTCGCTGGGCAGTGCTGCCCGCCCACTTGTTCTTTGCTCGCACCGCCTGCTCGACCTTCAGTTGCACCAGCCCCAAGACCCGTCCGCTCGGCTTTGGGCCACCCGCCCGCTCCGCTCCCTTTCTCTCGCTTGCTGGTGGTGACCCCACGCACCACCCAGCCACAAGCCGAAGACGCGCTTTTCTCACTACACACGCTGGTCCCGCCTATCGAACCGCCTCCCTCCACTTTCCTTCTTCCCGATGCCCCTTTCCTTTCTCTTGCCCGTCGATGGCGCAGCCCCAAGCGGCAAGCCACATGACCATCTCTCGCGCAAGGCAAGTGCCCGCCCCCTGCTCCCCTTCCTTCTCTACGCCACCGTCGTCCCCGCCTATAAAAAACCCGAGCCACGCCCCGCTTCTCTCTCTCTTTCCCGTCCGCTCAAGCTCGCACTCTCACCGCCAGCCAGTAGCTCATTGTTCGGTGCCTCGAACCTCGCCACGACGACGTCCCCGAGCTCATTCGACTGCTACTACCAGTGGTACCTCCCTCCCTTTTGTTTTTGGTCACGTTTTGGTTGGATTCACCTCACCACGCACCTCCTCTCTCTCTCGAGACCACCGCCGCGATCGACGCGCCTTGGAGGCCTTCCAGACGCCGCACCTCTTCTTCTCGACTCGCGGTGAGCTCCTACTGCTCCCCATGCCTTCGGTTCATCAAATGGCGCCCTAGAATGACGTAACGGCGAACACCCGAGCCGCCGGCCATGGCGCCGCCGCGGATCGTTGCCCCGACGTGGTCCCCGTCCCCATTAGGTATTCCAGCGAGATCGCGAGGTCCTGGAGATCATCCAGCGCGTTCTCGGTTGGGTAGGGCGTGGCTTGAATCGCCCCGGCGTCCACCGCTGAAGCTCGGCTCGCCGCCCGGCCATGGAGGGCTCGCCAAGGATGCTGCTAGCACCGGTGGAGATCCTCCCAAGCACCTCACACAAGTTAGATCTAGCACGGACGGTCACGATTAGAATATACTGTTATTGTGTAACGTCCACCGGGACCTGTGGACTCGGTCCACACGCGCCAAAGTCAGCGCAAGGCCCACCAACGCGCATGGCACACACGCACCAATCCCCGCCGCGCCGCGTCAGCCTGCCAAGCACTGGTCAAACCCCGATCCAAAGCCGTGCCTGCTTTTGCGTGATTAGCCCCGAGTTTTAAGAAATTAACCCATGATCGTGGGCGGTTCAAAAAAGAATTACAAATCTGTCTGTTTTTATTCAGTTAGGACCCCGTAATTTCCAGAATTAGTGTGCCCAGTCCAAAATACATTTAAATTCAGAATTTTAATTGTTTTAATTCAAAAATGAGTTCAAATATTTACAGAAATGCCACTGAATCTTATTTTATGCGTAACTTTTGCGTTTTAAGTCCGATTTGACCCGTTCGAATTGCGTTAGGATCGTATTTACATTTTCTACATGTTTATACGACTGTTAGGCATGTTTTCAACACTTGAAATTCATGGGTAGATTTAATCTATTAATTAACTAAAGCAAAACTTGTTTAAATCATAACTCATTCATTCTAACTCCGAAATAGTCCGTTCAAGTTGCGTTTGTTTCGTAACATCGAGATCTACGTATTAGTAATGATGTTTACTACATTACTATTTCATAAAAATCATAGTTTAAATCATATCTTGATTAATGATTATGCAACTAGGTTTTATACATAAAATATAATTTGTTTGACTTTTGTTTTACAATCTAAATCTAAAATTGACTTACTTCAATCCATATTGTTTATAAAATATCTTTTGTACATGAATTCATATGGTTAACATAAATGAAGCCTATAGTTTATTTTTCCACGTATTAAGCAAATCTCTCGGTATTTGTAACTTTTCAACCGTAGCTCCGATTAGCGTGCCTCTCGCGACTGTGTGTTCGTAGCAATGCGTAGAATCGAATTTCAATCTCTTTTACTTAATTTTTCTATGATTGGTGTACTGTTCTGATATAGATGCAACTGTATGCTATGCATGTATGTGTATGGATGTTTGTGTGGTGTTCTACGATTGTCCAGTCAGTGAGATACACGTGGTGATCCAGAAGAAGAAGAAGGACGTGAAGAGTAAAGCTTACCGAAGGATCGGTGTATAAGGCAAGTATAGCATGGGACTATCCTTGTTACCTATTCACATTTAAACACTTAATTCATATTGCATGTGTCTCCCTTGTTACCATTAAGGATATCCTAGATATTTGATATCTTGTACCTTGAAACCTTTGGGACATTGCATTGGGTAGTTTTTGCTAGTGCTTAACTAAACCATGATCTTGTAACTTGACTAATGATATATGCAATAAACATTAAAACGTAACTTTTTAGTAACATGGAATCAGGGGGCTGAAGTGTTTACCTGCTTCAGATTCCTCTCCCTAAGGACTTATCTGTAAGTGATCATCCGGGACTTACAGTACAGCTGTGAGGGCCATATGGCTCTGGCTTTAGCTCAGTATGAGGATCTTTTCTAGCTTGTTAGTGGTTACCTTTGAGGCGCGGGGTATGTTTCCTTTGCTGCTAGGAAGTGTGTACCGTGCTACGATGCCCACGCTTGCCACTCCTAGAGATGGGCCACATACGCCTGGCGGCCCTAACATGTTAGACGAATTCTTTGAAAGGCTTTATAGTGAACCCTGCCGACCTTCCTTGGAAGTGGGTCAAGAGAATAGCTACCTCGGGCGAAAGGGTAAATCACAACTCACAGTGAACGTGTACAAACTCTGCAGAGTATAAAAACTGTTATAACAGCCGTGCTCACGGATACGAGCGGCCTTGGACCCTTATGGAATAGAGATGATCACTAATGGATAATGATGATGCTAATAATTGATTGTTTATGCTATACATTATTCATGTTTACCTGATCATGTGTTTATTGGAATGATAAATCCTTTGCTACTCAATTGCTTAAAAAAATGATCTATTAAAGCTAATCGCAGTAAACCAGTGTCAGCCCTTTTGAGCCTCATGAACCCCATGATATAATTGTTAAGTACGACATGTACTTATGCTTGCTTTATTTTTCTATACATTGGATAAAAATCCCGGATGGGTACCAGATTGCTGGTTTGGAGGAGTTAGGCTTGTGGTCAACCAGTCAGTCGTCCCTGTGGATTTGGAGTCTTCACCAGAAGATCGGAGTCAACTTTTCGCTGTCTTTACTCTGAGGTTATTTTCCTTTTTACTAATACGTTATGTAATAAGTATTGTCTCTTGATATTATCCATATTTGTGGCTATATGTGAGATTTGACTTCCTGGGCTCACATATAGTGTGTATCTGGTTTTGTCTTTAAAACCGGGTGCTACATGGCTACAGCGATTCGAGGAGGGCCGTAAGAACTAGGCGGAGCTAGGAGCATGGGAAATTGGGAGAAGATGGAACAACGGCGATGAATTTCATTGTCGAGCGGCGTGGCGGTGCTCCGACA